AGATTACGAACTGGCGGCCGTATTTGATGCCAGCATCGCAGGTGGCAGCTTTACCCATTATGCCATAATGTTCCAAACAATAAACTTTGGTAAAAAGATTTATTTTATTTCTTTGAAAGACAGAGTTATGGGCAGTGGAGGGTGTGGGGTGGGGAGAGAAACAGATCTTCCATCTACTGGTTCACTCCCCAAATGGCTGCAATGGCCAGGGCTGGGCCAGGCAGAAGCCAGGAGCTTCATCTGGGTATCTCATCTGGGTGGCACCTGGACCCAAGCACCTGGACCATCTTCTGCATTCCCAGACACATCAGTAGGAAACTGCATTGGAAGTGGAACAGCCAGGACTTAAACCAGTGTCCATATGGGATGTCAGCACTGCAGGTGGTGGCTTAACCCACTACAGCACTACACCCACCCAATAATAAACTTTTGAAAAGAAGTAACATATTGGCCGGCGCCGCGGCTCACTAGGCTAATCCTCTGCCTAGCGGCGCCGGCACACCGGGTTCTAGTCCCAGTTGGGGCGCCGGATTCTGTCCTGGTTGCCCCTCTTCCAGGCCAGCTCTCTGCTGTGGCCAGGGAGTGCAGTGGAGGATGGCCCAGGTGCTTGGGCCCTGCACCCCATGGGAGACCAGGAAAAGCACCTGGCTCCTGGCTCCTGCCATCGGATCAGCGTGGTGCGCCAGCCACAGCACGCCGGCCGCGGCGGCCATTGGAGAGTGAACCAACGGCAAAGGAAGACCTTTCTCTCTCTCTCACTGTCCACTCTGACTGTCAAAAAATAAAAAAAAAGTAACATATTCCTATCCAAAAATAACTACTATTAATTCGTTAGTATGCAACTGTAGAGAATTTTTAATGCGTGTTTGCACAGGTAGTTACATGTTCTTTGTAACAAATGAAATCTGAAACATATGTATTTTTTTAAAGACCTATTTTATTTATTTGAGAGGTAAGAGTTACAGAAAGGGAGAGGGAGAGACAGAAACGTTTTCCGACTGCTGAGTCACTCCCCAAATGGCCACAACAACCGGAGCTGGGCCCATCCGATGCCAGGAGCCAGGAGCTTCTTCCGGGTTTCCCACACGGGTGCAGGGAACCAAGCACATGGGCTATCCTCTACTACTTTCCCAGACCATTAGCAGGAAGCTGGATCAGAAGTGGAGCAGCTGGGACTCAAACCAGCACCCATATGGGATGCTGGTGCTGCAGATGGAGGCTTAGCCCACTAACACCACAGCACCAGTCCTGAAACATATGCATTTTAAAAAGTTAAAAAACACTTTCCTAATCTGTCAACTATCACATGTCCCACAGATAACTAATGTTAAGAGTATGGTGTATTTAGTTGGTGCTGTGGCATAGTACGTTGAGCCTCCATCTGTAGTGCTGGCATCCCATAGAGCTGCCAGTTCAAGTCTCAGCTCCTCTACTTCTGATCCAGCTTTCTGATATGGCCTGGGAAAGTAGTGGAAGATGGTCCAAGTCCTTGGGCACCTGCACCTGCATTGGAGACCTAGAAAAAGCTCCTGGTTCCTGGCTTTAGATTGGCCCAGCTCCAGCCATTGCAGCCATTGGGGGAGTGAAACAGCAGACAGAAGACCCTCATCTCTGTAACTCCACCTCTTATGTAAATAAATAAATAAAAAAGAGCATGGTGTACATCTTCTCCCATCTCATTCTCTAAGATTACAAAAATTATGCAAACATATAAGTATATATACAAAGGGGCTTCCAAAAGTTTGTGGAAAATGGAATTAAAAGATGTTTATTATGGTGTAAAAAAGTTTAGAATCTAAACTTTTCATAACATGCATGTCCCATGAACTTTTTGAAGACCCATCATATATATGATTTGTACATTTTCTAAAAATGGGAGTCCTAGAAAATATCACTTCAACTTTACATGTACTTTTGCCATTCAGTCCTCATCTCAGGCTCATAGATAGAAACTGTGATTCAGTTATAAACACGATGTATAATTACATACACAAGAAGTGGCCAGGGCTGGCGCTGTGGCACAGTAGGTTAATCCTCCGCCTGCGGCGCCGGCATCCCATATGGGCGCCGGTTCATATCCCAGCTGCTCCTCTTCCAATCCAGCTCTCTGCTATGGCCTGGGTAAGCAAAGGATGGCCCAAGTGCTTGTGCCCCTGTACCCACATGGGAGACCCAGAAGAAGCTCCTGGCTCTTGGCTTTGGATTGGCGCAAGTCCTTGGGCTCCTGCACCCTTGTGGGAAACCCAGAAGATTCTCCTGGCTCCTGGCCTCGGATCGGCGCAGCTCCAGCCATTGCAGCCATTTGGGGAGTGAACGAGCGGGTGGAAGACCTTTCTCTCTCCGTCTCGCTCTCACTGTCTGTAGCGCTACCTCTCAAATAAATAAACAAAATATTTTTTTATTAAAAAAAGTGGCAAAATAGGACTCAATCTCAGATCTGTCTGGTTTATCCTGCGGGCCTGAAAAAGTCGTTGAAGGATCTGAGAAGCACTATCAGACTCCTCTGACCACAGGGTAAGGCAGGAGACCACCCTGATGTCAGAGCTCTCCAGTGGTAGAGGGAGGAAATGAGGGAAGCTGGACTAGGACTAACCATTAGGGGTGGACAGATTCAAGACACCTCAGGAGGGGCTGAAATGGCTAGGACTCATGAAGAAGCTATCAAAGGTGACTCCAATGTTCAATCTTGCCAGTGAGGGGACAGTTCCCTGGCCCCACCCTCTTCTTGAAGGGGGGGAGCTGCGGAAGGCAAGGCACCATTTCTCATTCTAGAACATTCCAAACCTAGGAGCTGGTCCCCTGGCGTGGAACAAACCATTATGGTAGGGTGGTGGAACAGTTTTTACTTGATTGCAAGTTGTTTTATTTTATTGGTTCTGTGTTTTTTTTTCTGACCACGGTTGGTTTCTTTCCATCTTCAAGGGCTTTCAGCCTTGTAGCAGGTTCCTTTAGGTCCCGGGGGAAGGGGAGGGGCCTTCCTCCTGCATCCCTCCTCCCACCCTCGCCGTCTCTGGAAGTTGGAACAGTCCTAGAATAAAGGACTCGTGTGCTGGTTCCTAGGCTCCCTTTCCCACCCCGGAGCGCTAAGAGAAAGACTTCACTCTCTTTGGGCCTGGTAGGCGGCGTCATCAGCCTGCACCTCCTTGGGTCCCTGGCAGGAAAGGTGAGGCCTGGAAGTGGAAGTGTCTAGGGCGGGATAAGCTGATTGGGAGGGAGGGTCACCATATTGCGGGGTTGCCGGGGGTGGGGGGAGGTGGAGAAACAGGACTAGGGAACGGAGAGGGCAGAAGGGCAAGGAGGGAGGAGTCTGGAGGGGTTGGGGTGGGTAAGGGAGCAGGAAAGAGACAACCAGCATCCCACTCCACAGAGCCAGCGAAGCCGAAGTCGCTGAGATCATCAGTCACCATGGCCTTGAAACCAGAGGACCCCTGTAGTGGGTTCAGGCATAGAAAGGTGATAGACTTCATCAATCAGAAAATGGACATGCACCAGAAAGGCTCCAAGTTCTACTGCGATAATATGCCCCTGTCCTGGGAGGAGGTGGAAAACAAGCTCCAGGTCGTCTTAGAGGACAGCGAGGTGTCCAAGGAAGCCAAGGAAGCCTGCGCTTGGGGCAGCCTGGCCCTTGGGGTGCGCTTATCCCGAAGGCAGGGACAGTTACAGGGACGCAGGGTGCGGTGGCTGCATGACTTCGCCAAACTGCATAAGTCGGCTGCACAGGCTTTGGCCTCAGAAATGAAGGAGCTCAGGGCACAGCACGAGATGGAGCGCAAGGAGGCAGCATTCCGACTGCAGCTGGCCCACGCCAAAGTGGCAGAGTTGCAGAAAGAACGGGACATGCTGAGCTGGAAGCTCCTGCAGGCGGTAAGACTGCTCAACTCCCAGCAGGAGCCCCGTCTCCCAACAAGAGCCTCCTCTGCGGCAGGAGCCCCACCTCACCCTTCCCTGAGCCTGCTTCCCCCAGACCCGACCTCAGTTCCAGCCACTCTTCTCCAGGAGCTGAACAGCCGCTGTGAGTGGGTTACAGAGAGACCAGTCCTGGCCAAGGCCAGACGGGCTGCAACAGGAGTATTGGGTGGGCAGGAGGAGGCGGCGGCTGCCACTGGCACTAGCAGAAGAGGACGAAAGAAGAGGGAAGTAGAGATTGTCCCCTTGGAGGCCACCCAGAAGCGAAGTGGAGGCCTCCCGAGGCTTCTCGGAGCTGTGGGACGGAAACATGACAAGTCCGGCAAGCAGAGGGAGGGAGACCTCAGGTCAGTGGAGACAGCCATGTTTTATTTCTCTGGGACCCTAAATGCAGGGCCCACAGCCTCACAGGCACTGCTTCCTGTCCAGCTCCCTGCCTCGTTCTCGTACCCCTACACGCCCCCCTTCCCAGCCCCATCCACACCACCCCTAGCTACAGCCAGGGTCCCAGCACCTGCTGCACCTCAGACGTTCCCCCACTGGTCAGCCTCTGATATCGGCCTGTGGTCTGCCACGGGGGCTCAGGGAGTAGACCCTCCAGAACCGCAGAGAGACGAGAAAGACTCCGAAGCCCAGCAGCAGAGAAGACCCCCAGTGTTCCGCAGGCCGGGGGACTGGGACTGCCCCTGGTGTAATGCTGTCAACTTCTCACGGAGGGAAATGTGCTTCCGCTGTGGGAGGGGAATCTGGCTCCAAAGCCCTTGAATTCAGAAATGTGAAATAGAAGAAGCAGCATACCCCAATGGGAGATCGATTTTTCAGAGGGAGCCGGGAGAGGTGGAGAGGGGACAGGGAAGGAATGGAAGGGAGGTGGGTGGAGTATAGGTAGCTGGGGAAGAGCCGTGTCTTAACGACCCCCTTTTGTGTTCTGGAATGTTAGCTCTATTGCAGTTTCTGTGTGTGTGTGAGTGTGTGTTTGCCCCCGTACCCTAGTGTCTGGTGGCCCTGGCCTGCCATGTGTATCACATATCGCCCTCTCCCTCAACCTAGGCCTAGGCCTTACCTGGTTGGAACAGGAGTGGACATTTGACCTATCTGAGCCAAAGAGCATGCTCAGGCTAGGAAATCTGGACATAGAGCTGTTTTTCACAGCCAGGGTGGTTTTAGGCAATGAGGCAGTGGGTCACTTGGAGTTGGGGGCAGGGTCACAGCTGTCAAGGCCACAGCTGAGGCCTGGTGCTGGGTGTGAGGCTGCAGAATGGGGGACTATACAGAGGCAGGTGTCTTTTGTAGGATCCCTGTTCCAGAAAGCAGACAGGCACAAGAGGAATTAGTTGATTCTGTGACCCCAGAGATGAGGAGAGTGGCAGGGAAAGCAATCACTTTTCTACAATTGTGTTACATAAAAATCCATTTTGCAGATTCACTTCTCTTTATGCTAACTTGAGTGAGCTCCTGTTCTGGGCAACCAGATTATTTACAAATCAGAAACTGGCACCAGGAGAGCAGCTGCAAATAACCATCAAAGAAAATGTTGCGCCTGGCTGGGGCGGTGCATCCAGGTGTGTGTGGCAAGCTATGGGGTTTCCTGGATCCCGAGAGTCCCCAAGTATGAACTGAATGGGAAGCTCATTCATGTTCTGAGGGAATTGTATTACAAGAAGCAAAACCAGCGTGGGGTTAGCCCTGGGTTTATACTTTTACTCAAATCAACACAGCAGAGATCTGCCACTCCTAAGGGACTCTGTCAGGGCTGCATACAGAGGATTTCAGCACCGACTGCAGGCAAGGACTGCTGTGACTGTACAGCCCCATGGCAGGAGAATCCTCCCAAGTCCCCATCAGGCAAAGCCACGGACAGTCAAATTGGAACAGGGAACCATGCCACTGCTAAGGAGGCGAGTCAGCAGCCGATTATGCCTGGGGGGTTTGCTGATCTACACCACTGACCAATGCACAGTGCCATTCTGAGGGATTCTCGCCCCAAACCACCACTATGACAAATGTATGGGGCTGGTGGGTGGGAATTTGGCTGCGAAGCTCTCACTGACTTCAGAAACGTGAAGTAGAACAGTGGCATATCCCAGTGGGAAATCAGCTTCCAGACAGAGGGACAGGTTGGGGATGATGGCAGTGGGTGGAGTAAGGGGGCAGGTGGGAAGATGGTCTTCCTCTGCCCTCTGATGACCACAGACTACATTCAGGGGGGGCTGAACTTGGGTTTCAGCCCTCAGGTGGGTGTATGGGGAGAAGTTTCACCTGACCAGACTGAGACATGAATAGAGGAGTCCCAGACATCAACTAGGGATTGTGGGCCTAGAGCCTGAGAAGTTGTGTCCCGGGGACATCTGCAGCAACTCAAAGTGACTGGGTTGTCTTCAGTTGGTGAAGGTGTGGATAATCACTGTTAAGAGTTGGAGGCTAGATTCCTGGCCTGAACAGGTGATAACTGTCTTTGACCTTGTTCCTACTTCTCTAGGCCAGGGTTTCCTAGGAGCTGGATAATTCCTGCAGGGAACTGTCTAGTGTATTACAGGATGTTTAGCAGAATCCATAGCCTCTACTCCCTAGATGTCAACAGCACCCACCCCCAGGTTGTGACAACCAGAAATATCTCCAGATTTCGCCACACGTAGCCTAGAGAACAAAATCACCCCCAGATTGGAACCACGGAGACAATGGCATACCTAGGAGCAAACAGAACAAGGTGGAATGAAAAGAGAAGGAAGGAGGTTACAAAGGTGGAGGGGTCCTGTGAGGTAAGAGCTGAGAAGTAGCCACCAGGTCTGGTGTCTGGCAGGTCCAGCAGAGTGGCAGGTGCAGAAGCCCACCTGCACGAACTAAAGTGTGAGTGGGAAGCAAGAAAGTGGAACCAGTGAGGGCAGGCTCCTCTCCCAGGACCCTGAGCTGGGAAAGGAAGGAGTGGAGTGGAGTACACTGAGTACGTTGAATGGTGGTTCTTTTGAATATGAGAGAAACCTCAGCCACGAGGAGGGAGAAGGCTGAAGGAAGCCTGAATGTGTGAGAGCTATGAAAGAATGATGTAGATCTTGCATACTGTATTGGAGGCATGGCCACTGCATTGTCAAATGAAAGAAGCCATTTGATAATGGTCATGTTCTTCCTTAGATACCTCCCCCCCAAAAAAAGTTCTGTTTGTGTATATTTGTTGTATCTATGCTATAAGCTTATGTTTTGAGTAAGCACTGGAAAAGCTCTGGAAAATATTGAGCAAACAAGGTATTACCTAGGGTGGGGCCTCAGGGTCAGGGGATGTGATGCAGTGGGAAGCAGGGTGAGGTCTGGGGCACCCAGGCTTTGATTTCCTTATAAACTGTGTTGTGAAAATAAATATTCAGAAAAATACAAAAATGGAAGTGAATTTATTGGTTTGGGTAGGTTTAGAAAGACCATGTCTTCCTCTGGGGCAGGAAAAAAGAGCAGACACTGATGTGTGTGCCAGAGGCTTCTATGTTCGTGATACTGGCAGAGCACCTCGGAGCGGGCAGGGCTGGCCAGGGCCGGGCCGGGGACATCTTTGGGCACTTTGGGGAATAACTACTGGGGTGGGGTGAGGGTGTTGGAGAAGAGGATCATCAAGCTGCAGGGAACAAGATAGGGCTCAACCTGAAGGAAGACAGAGGAAGGCCAGTGGGAGTGTGAGGAAAAGCAAGGGGCACGGGTCAAGGCGGGACACCAGTACACACTCACGGCAGCAGAGACAGTGCACACAAACGGGAGAAGGGGGAAGGGTGGGCAGGGATCGGCCTGGCGCCCACCTTCCGCCACAGGTTCCTAGCTTAGCTTGTCATTTGCTGCTCCACAATGGAGAAGCTGAGCACTAGTTACACTTTATTTTCAGGTTCAGTCACCTAAGAGTGTCATTTCCAGCAACACAGTCTTTACCTGAAAATACCTAAGTTTAAAGCAGAGTTCAACTCACTTCAGGTCTTTGATTTTGCAGTATGGATTCTGCAGTGCTTGGCAGAGCAAGTGCAGCCGAGACACTGGTACGTTGTACAGCTGAAAGGACCTAAAAGAGATAAGAAAAACAACAATTTCAACTGAATCTTAAGCAGAAAATAGATTTTGGTTGCTATTAACTTGCTAGTTCTATTTTGCCCCTTCTAAATATATTAGGAGGTATTATCCCATTTTGCACATAAGGAAATGAAGGCACAAAAAGTTAAGGAATTTGTTTAAGGTCACAGAAGTAGGTAGAGAATGGAGTTCTGACTCCAAAGCTGTGCTATGCTGTGCCAGGCACTGAGGTAGGCACTTGACAACACACACATTATGTGACCCCTAATCAAATGACAGGTATTGTCATCACCATTATGTAGATGCTCTAAGAAATCAAGTGACTTGCCCAAGCTGCCATTACAATAAAACAGATTCTTGGTTGTCGCTACTAATAGAAAAATTAACAATAATTCAAAACCAGGAAACTTCAATAGTTAACTCTCACCTAGTCAATGTATTTGGCAAAGGAATATTTAGGCTTAATTTTTTTTTTAAAGATTTCTTATTTAGGGGCCAGCTTTGTGGCCCAGCAGGTTAAGCTGCTGCCTGAAATGCCATCATCCCATATGGACACCAGTTCAAGTCCTGGCTGCTCCACTTCCAATCCAGCTCCCTGCTAATGAGCCTGGAAAAACAGCAGAAGGTGGCCCAAGTGCTTGGGCCCCTGCACCCATGTGGGAGACCAGGAAGAAGCCTTGCTTGACACAGCTCTGACTTTGGCCATTCAGTAAACCAGGCAGATGGAACACTGTGCTCTCTATCGCCCTCTCTCTGTCTCTCTGCTTGGTTTACTATCCAAATGGCCAAAACTGTCAGGGCTTGGTCAGGCAGGAGCCAGGATCTCCATAAATTTTTTATGAGAGTTTAAGCCCAGGGCTGGCTCTGTGGCACAGTGGAGTAATCCACTGACTGTGATACCAACATCCCATCTGAGCACTGGTTCGAGTCCCAAGCTGCTCAGCTTCCAATCTAGCTCCCTGCTGATGCGCCTTGGGAAGCAGCAAAAGATGGCCCAAGTACTTGGGGCCCTGCTACCCATGTGGGAGACCTGGATGGAGTTCCAGGTTCCTGGCCTGGCCCTGGTTGTTGTAGAACTTGGGGAGTAAACCAGCAGATGGAAAATTAATATACTCTCTCTTTCTCTTTTTTTCTCTCTCTCCCTCTAACTCTGCCTTTAAGATAAATAAATACGCAATAATAAAAATCTTAAAGAGATTATCTTAAAGGCAATAAGGGCTGGAGGTGGGTATTCCATCTAAGATTGATTTTTCTGGAAACCCAGAATAAACTAGAAGCCTCTTTTTGTTTCTGTTAAGTGTTTTAAATCTCTCAAATGTGTTAGTCCATTTTTCTTTTTTAACTTTATGGTAACAGCCGGAAGGAAGCTGACATCAGTCAAAACCTTGTAGCCAAGTTCCCTCACAAATCTGAATGCATTTTACTGCTCCTGCTCCTTCCCCTTCTAGTTCTAAACACAGACACATCCTATCTACCTCCTCCTCCTCACTTCCCTCAAGCATTCATGATCGTGTCCACCTCCACCTCCATGCTATTGCCCACGGAGGAAATACAATTGTAAGAGATGAGACCTGAGTGAACTCACTCCTCGAGTAGAGCCTTCTACTTACTTTCCTCTCCTTCTTAAGGTCTCCTACCACTCTGCCGGCCCTGCAACTGAGGAAGAGATACTGCCCATTTTCACCCAAATATTGAGAACAGACTCACTGTATTTTCTGGATAACACAAGTATTATAGCCCTTTTTTCTTTTTTTTTGCTGCTCTACTCAGTAAGTTGGTAGAACTGTATTGCATAGTATGCAGAGTCCACAGTGGCTTTATAGCTAGATACACCGGAATATAGCTATCCTTCCATAATCTGAAGTTCTTTGTGGTCTTAGTGATGAGGTATATATAGAGGAGAATGATAACTAATCTAATATTAGGTTCACAAAAACAGCAGAGTCCTCAATGATAATCTTGATGACCTTCCGTGTTCCTAACACTGTAATTACAAAGCATAGTGAAAACACTATCACACAGACACACAACTATGGCGGCTAGTACAATGTCT